CACCAAATTTGCAATTTATTCTCCTACATTTCGGGTAAGTTCTCATATTCACGTATCATATAGTATTTCCATCCACAGGATGCAATAACGAAATGTTGACTTCTATGGCACAAACGTTCCATTCGACGATAATTAATGTAGAAAACAGTCTAGTGCAATTTCAGAGTGACCTACCGCGTCATGTGCACAAAATCATTATGCTCAACAATTTATTCATTTCTTCCGATGAATTTTCATTCAGTGATGGTAACTTTACCAGAACCCTAACAAATAGGCTGCTGTTGCAGTACTGAATACTGATTCACTGTTCAGATGACCCTCCAAACCGTATAATCACTACCATTCCTTAAGAGTACAGACACTGTACTTCCCATCTCCGGGGCTCAGTTCAGGCTAACCGGTTTCCTTGAATCCCTTCATAAATATTACGTTACACTCCATCAACACGTCAAATTTTAATAAAAAAAAAAAAAATTCCACTCACTGTTAGTCAACACATTCACACCTGCCACTTGGATGTCTAATCCTCTAGCACTCAGAAGCTTCTTTGTCCTATAACTCCAATCTTTAAGAAGACGATCCCCTACCCTTCCTTCTCTCCATCCCAGATTTATAGGTCCTTCTAGGAAAATTATTTTTCTCCATTCCCTATAAATACCCAAACCATTTCAACAACTACTCAGCTCTTTAAATATTACTTTTGATAACTCCACCTACTTTTTTTTACATAGGGCTTTAAAAGGTTGAGTTAACGGTTCTTATCCCCCCTCTCTCTCCCTCTCTCTCTCTCTTCTCTCTCTCTCTCTCTCTCTCTCTCTCTCTCTCTCTCTCTCTCTCTCTCTCTCCTCTCTCTCCTCTCTCTCCCTCTCTCTCTCTCTCTTTCTTTCTCTCTTTCTCCCTCTCCCTCTCTTTCTCGTCTTGAGTGAGGGCATAATGCTAACTCTCCACCCAACCGAAACGGCTGTGGTATCTTAAATAACAATTCCTTCAACCATCCACCTACTGTAAGCTTGAGTATAGCTATTATCTAAACTGCTGTCAGTGAGCCGGAAAAATCATCAATAACTAATTTTAATTTTTCAGGGAAAATAAAGGGAATCGAACTAAGGGCAGGCAAAATGCTAGCTATCCGCTCTAATGACACAGACGTACCAGGTTAAATAATTAATTTTTAAAGCATCAACCTGCTGTAAGCTTGGTAAGGATAACATGGCTTTCCACTACTACTAACTGTAGGCTTTAATAGTGCCAGAGGCAAAGGGGTTTCAATCTTGTCCACTTCTCGAAGATAAGGGCAGTCGTCAAAGGAGGAAATTCAATACCAAGATAAGGGCAGTCGTCAAAGGAGGAAGTTCAATACCAGAAAAAAGATTTATAGTCTTTATCGAAATTAAAAGAAAAAAGATTGAAAAAGTAGAGATTAAAATAACTAACATACAGGTTGAATGTGTACATTCAACCAATCCAAAATGGATGAATAATAGGCTCAAATATCTACTAGGGCATAAGAAAGGAATTTATAGGCGTTTCAAAAGAGGTGAGGGTCATCTTATGAATCAGTATATTGACATTAAGAGGGACATTAAAAAGGGGATAAGAAAAGCTAAAAGGGACTATGAAATTAAAGTTGCTAGGGATTCTAAAACTAACCCAAAAAGTCTTTTCCAGGTCTATAGAACAAAAGTTAGAGATAAGATAGGTCCCCTTAAAAATAACTATGGGCACCTTACTGACAAAGAGAATGAAATGTGCTCGATTTTTAATAATTATTTTCTCTCAGTTTTTACACAGGAAGACACTAACAATATTCCAGTAATTAATTTTTATAGTGGGCTAGAAGAAGATAAATTATGTAACATCACAGTCACTAGTGAAATGGTTGTGAAGCAGATAGACAGACTGAAGCAAAATAAGTCGCCGGGTCCTCATGAGGTTTTTTCAAGGGTTCTTAAGGAATGCAAAATGGAACTCTGTGAACCATTAACTAATATTTTTAATTTATCTCTTCAAACAGGTGTAGTGTCTGATATGTGGAAGATGGCTAATGTAATTCCTATTTTTAAAACAGGGGACAAGTCGTTACCGACAAATTACCGCCCAATAAGCCTGACCTCAATTGTAGGCAAATTACTAGAGTCAATTATAGCTGAGATTATAAGAAGCCATCTCGATAAGCATAGCTTGATTAATGATACTCAGCATGGATTCACAAGAGGCCGGTTTTGTCTAACTAATTTATTAACTTTCTTCAGTAAAGCTTTTGAGGCTGTTGACCACGATAAAGAATTTGATATTATTTACTTAGATTTTAGTAAGGCTTTTGATAGAGTTCCGCACCATAGACTGTTAAAGAAAGTGGCAGCTCATGGCATTGGGGGAAAAGTGCTCTCGTGGATCGAGTCATGGCTCACTGACAGGAAGCAGAGAGTGTCCATAAATGGGGTTAAATCCGAGTGGGGATCTGTAACAAGTGGCGTTCCACAGGGATCAGTCTTGGGCCCGTTGTTGTTTATAATATATATCAATGATCTTGATGAGGGAATTACTAGTGATATGAGCAAATTCGCCGATGACACAAAGATAGGTGGATAATTGATTCAAACGTAGATGTTATGGAATTCAGGAGGATTTAAACAAACTCTATTCTTGGTCAGAAAAGTGGCAGATGCAGTTCAATGTAGATAAATGCAAGGTTCTGAAGCTTGGGAGTGCCCATAACCCTAGTACTTATAAGTTAAATGATGTAGAACTTAGCCATACAGATTGCGAAAAGGACTTGGGGGTTATGGTGAGCAGCAACCTTGTATGAATGCTTAGAAAAACCGACAGTTGAAGATTGAGCACTACGCCAGGCATATGGGAATCTTTATCCTGAATAAAGATTCCCATATGCTGCATAAGTTCTCATCTTCAACTTTCGATTGATAAACTTCATCACAACTTCGCAGCATGACTAAAGAATACTTGCATTAGAATTTTTACCTTATAACTTAGATTGAAGACCAATTACTTCACTTGTAGGAGCCACATGATGGGAGACCTGATTCGAAGGTCTAACTGGAGATAGGTATAATAAAGGGATTTAATAAGGTTTGAGGATGTTCTCAAGAGAGAACCCGCAGTAATCGGATTTAAATTAGATAAGTTTAGATTTAGACAGGACATAGGAAAGTATTGGTTTGGAAATAGGGTAGTTGATGAGTGGAACAGTCTACCTAGTTGGGTTACTGAGGCTGGGACTTTGGGTAGTTTTAAATTTAGGTTGGATAAGTACATGAGTGGGAGGGTTTGGATTTGAGTGGGACTTTCACATCAGAGTTTAAATTTCTTGGGTGGCATTGAAAATTGGGTTGGGCAAATGTTTTGTTAGTGGGATGAATTGTAAAGGACCTGCCTAGCATGGGCCAACAGGCCTCCTGCAGTGTTCCTCCTTTCTTATGTTTCTTATGTTCTTATGCTTTCATGTGTGTGCGTGTGTGTGTGTGTGTGTGTGTGTGTGTGTGTGTGTGTGTGTGTGTGTGTGTGTGTGTGTATGTGTTCATTTTTTACATTCACATAATCACCTGATTGTGTATGAATCTGCAGTATATATACATCAGAGAACTCGTAATAAAGTGTTGTACCTTTTTCCAGGCATAGACGATCCAAGAACTCAGGATTAAAACATCACTAGTTCAGGACACTGACTACTAGACGTACTGCCGTCAATAAAAAAAAAGAAAAACACTTATTCCAATCAATATTAGTAGGTGTCCCAACTGTGGCATCAGTTGCAACTTTATTATATATAATTTCTATCGTCAGTGACAGTCTGTTTATGATCATCTCTATCCTTAGGTTAAAAAATCTATGAAGGAATGTGCGATCTTATACGTGTATGGTTGGTTGTGCTTTATTGTTGATCTAATGAAAAAAAATGGCATTGGAAATGGATATTTTTAGATGTTTTTCTCTTAGGGTGTTCGTTATTCGGTTGACAGCGTTCTCAGCTCAGACTGAGGACGCTATCATCTGACAGCCTCCTCAGGACAAGTGAAACCTCGGGAATGTTTCACATAACAGTAATAGGTAAACAGGTGTTAGTCTACTGTTGTGTGTCACATCCTGGAAAAGAAGATTAAAGAACCCCAATGGTTATTTTATCTGATTGATACAGTTTAAGTTAATGTTGTTTTGCAGTTTGTTTTACTTTAACACTAAAATTTCTTAGTTACTATGTCTGCCTCTCTTAAATTAATGTAATAAAATGAAGCTTAACTATGCCAAGCTTATCTTGAGACAACCGCAGCTTAGTTTCGTAGCATCTGTTATGCCCAGACTGATGTTTGTGTGGTTATTACAACAATGAAGTTAAACTCGATGAGTGTATGTGTATGTGTATGTATGTGTTTGTCTAGCTTTATGATGGTATATTAATATATATCGTTACCTGTGTGTGCGCGATAAGCCAGAATTAGAGTAAGTAATTTCCAAGAGATTGCATCTTAGCTTTGTTGGAACGAATGTTTGAAGCTCCGCAGGTTCTATCTGTTTTTGAATAGTTACCTGACAGAGGTTATTCGCATCAATCTCTGGTAAATTAGATAGTAGTATTATTTCGGAAAACTTTTTATATATAAACCAAAGATTAAAGTAAACTTTCAGTGTATTTACACCAAGAAGTACACTTTTTGGTGGATGGATTACCGGTTAGCAGACTAAACGCGGTAGCTATTGAACCCACATTGAAATTCTTGAGAATATCCTAATTTCATGACAGAATGTTCCTAGTCACGGCTTGAAAAGTTCATGGACTGCTGAACGAAACCCATTTTGGGTGACCTAATCTAGCAAAGAGACACAGTTCGGTTTGTTTCAGCTGTTTACTATATAGAGAAAAATAACAGCTCACTACTAATATACTCAGTTTCGTTAATAAGAAGTAGATGAAACAGGTGTCATCACCTGTTTCATGAAACCAAGGGGTTCATGTAACCCTTGAGCCGTTTTAACCTTAAGCACAACAACTTCTGTAGAGGAGGGAAGGTACACACCACAGCTGTTAACTCGCTATTTATGGCTAAAATAGCTACTCCCGACACTGAAGGTGAGTACTTTTGAGAAAGGCATTTTTCCAGATGCTTCACTAAATTACTCTTAATCTATAAGAATTCGAGTAGTATCTGTTACCTGGTTTCGTAGTGTTTAATATGCAGCCAGCTGGTGGATATGTTTGTTAAATTGCCATTAATAAAAAATACGGTGAATTATTGTCTTTCCAAACAATAAATTAGAGGTGATCATCTTCGAAACATTCATTTCTGCCATTACTATTATAATTACTGTTATATTTTGGTGATTATCATATATAACTATTTTGCTAAGTATCATGTGTAATTATTCTGCTAATAATTATTATATATTTTGGTATTATTATATATTAGTATTTACTTATTATTTATTATTTACTAATGATTAATATATTTTATTTTACAACTTATTTATTATTTTTTTTATCAAAACAGCCGAATCGCACCAAGGCAGGTTGACCCAAAAAAGAAAAAACGAAAGTTCTCTTTCTAAACTTAGTTACTAGCCCCTTGCTCCCGGCGCTTTAGTCGCCTCTTACGACACGCATGTTTACGGAGGACGAATTCTGTTTCACTTCCACTTTTCTTTTAACCGATCGTCTCCCACCGAGGCGTACCAACACCATAGCTCACGTGCCCTTTCCAAACTACACTATCCCTATCCCTCCTTTCAAGTGCAGGCACTGTACTACCACCTCCAGGACTCGAGTCCGGCTAACCGGTTTCCTTGATTCCCTTCATTAATTATTATTAGTGTGATTATATTGCTAACCATTTATATTAGTATTATAATTATTACTTTGATGCTTAAGGGGAAAAGGTAAACCTGTAGGGTTCATGCAGCGCCTGAGGAATAAGCTATCAAGTTCGATCCATGAATTGAAAACTCGTCACAGCTTCAGAGTGTACAACCCCCCCCACCCCCACCCTCTCCTCCCTCCCACCACCATCTATCGTTGCCAGAAAGGAAAATAAAAACTTTTCGAAGCTAAAGCCAACCATTCACATAAAAAAAATAAAAGATTATTTTAAAATTCAGATGAGAATATAGTAAATATTGTGATGTGACACATGTTTTGAAGTATGAGGAGAACTCACAGAACAGGGATGAAAGCTTTACTAGAAGATTACGTGATTTCATTAAGATGAAGTCTGCTGCTGACAAAGCATTTCCATACTTGAATTGGCTACTTAAAATATAAAAACCTGTTTTGTTACTTGTAACATGTACATCTCATGATGGGTTACATAAAATATCTACAGCTTATAGGTTACTTAAAAAATATACAGCTGATTGGTTATTTTATATATATAGATAGCTGATGACTGATTACTTTAAATCGGGAAAGCTGATGATCCATCCCGGTGTGTGAAATAATACTTTGTTCAGATCGTCTAAGTGGCCAGTTAGCACTCTGAATACTACCGAGGTTAACAAATCGGGTTTCTATATTCTCAACACTATGCACTTCAACAACAGATTGGTATGAAATAAATGTAATTGATCAATTAGCCTTCGCACATGATTTATTTGCATTAAATTAAAAAAACACTAAGCAACCCGCTCGCTCCTTCCTGGAAGCTGAACAAATGTACATTTTAGGTGGAAGGTGCATATGTGGGATACCCAGAGGGCACGTTTTCACTAAAAATGACGATACGGCACCCCATACCGTCATATGTTATATTGGAGGCCTTCAGGACTCAGCTCATGGTGTCCTATGCTGGGCAACGCAGGACATGCAGGCGTTGTGGTGGTTATGATCACATTGCTGCATATTGTGAAAAACAGACTCGACTCCATGGTGTTGAATGTACTGCCGCAGGGAAACCTGGGCAAGTTGGACGTGCTCTAGAGATACAGGAAGGACGTGGGCCTGGTCGTCTGTGGAGTGAGGAGGTGGAGGAGGCAGAGGCAGTGGCGGGTGCGGACCTGACGGCCCCTGTGGCTGGGGCCCTGTGGGACCCATTTTGCCTGATGGTGGGGAACGGCATGGTTCGGCGGAGGAAGCCATTGACGAGGTCCTAGAGAATGTGCTTACCTCGCTGTTTCCCCAGTCCGATGGGGAGGGCGAGTTGGTGATGAGGGCTGATGTGAGGAATGCTGCAGACCTGTGTGGACAGCAAACTGAGCCCATCGACTTGGTGGTGTCTCACGGGGCACTGTGCCCAGAGGGTGAGGTCAGACATGTGGTGGAGGTTGAGGTTCACCGTGAGGTATCACAGGAGGTGAGGATGGAAACAGGTGAAGTCGCGCGCAAGCGTGAGGCTGTGACATCTGATTCAGATGATGTCCTGACTCCAGCACAGAGGACCGGCAAGGTGGTGGTGGTGGAGGAGGAGGAGGATGGTGGTGGTCCCTCGGGGACTTTGGACCCGGAGCTGGACCGGGGAGGGGTTAGGGCTGCCAGTAGGGACATGCTAAAGGAGGTCCGAAAGGACATGGTGGCGTTGGTGGAAGGTGTCAAACAAAGGGGGGGAAGAAACCACCGCTGGCCTAAGGTGTATGACAGTTAACATTAATGGTTTGTGTCAGGATGTGAAGCGTGCGTGGTTTGCAAGTTTCTTGTGCCGGCATAGAGTGGATGTTGTATTTGTGCAAGAGCACAATATCAAGGTGGGGCGTGTATTGGAGGTGAATGGTTATAGGGCTTTTGTGATGCAGACGGACGCTTGAAGGGAGGGGTGGGAGTCCTTTTCCCGGGAGGCGAGCCCATTTGTGGTTTAGTAGAAGTGAAGGGGAAGGCGAGGGCGTATTATCAGAGTGGATGGATGGTGGAGGGGCGAGCGAGTGGCGTTAGTGTGTGTGTACGCACCCGCAGAGTGATGCACGCCCTGAAAGGGGATTTTGTGAGGGATGACCCTCGTTTATTTTTTCCGTTCTTTACCACCTGTTGCTATTGGGGAGGGGATTGGGAATTGTTTATTTGCAGGGCAGAACGTCGAGCCACGTGGGGGCAGGGCATTTTTCAACATCCTAGGTGATCTTTAAAGAGATGTGTCTATGTGACGTTTTTGGGGGGTGGGGCCTGGGAGGTGGAGCACACTTTTGTTAGACAAGGATATGCGGCAGGCTAGATCGGGTGTACATCACAAAGCGGGGTTAGAGTGGAGTCCTTGCGTACGGTGGAGGTGGAAATTCAGATCACAGGGCGGTCGTGGTAGGGCCTTTGGGGGGGGATGGGCTGGCCAGGAGGTGGAAGAGTTATTGGAAACTAAACACGAGGAATCTAGGTGATGAGGAGAGGCAGGGAGGAATTTGAGACGTTGTGGGCAGAGTCGTGAGGAACGGCGGGGCATAGAGATTTACTGGGTGGTGGGATGGGGTGGCTAAGGCACGAATACTAAGTTTTATGTGAGGGAGGGGAAACGCATGATGCAACAATCATATGGGCTCCTTCAGTACCTAGAGGGGAGGTTTAGGGATTGCTATGGGGGAGGGGGACCGGCGGAGTAAATACCTGTAGAGGAGATAGAAACGTTGAAGGGAAGGATTCGTGAGCTGCAAAATGAACAGTTTAATGCGGTTTGGGGTGCAGGGGGGGGGGTTTAGGGGGTGTTATGGGGCCCATCGACCGTCGGCGTGTGTTTTACGAGGTCAGCAGCAATGTCGGACGGCCACAGAGGTTGGGAGGTAATCGCCACTCTGAAGTGGGGGATTATCGTGAGGGCAAGGTGTTGAGGACGATGAGGAATGAGTGGTTATGCAGATGCATGGTATGAGCAGTATTTGGGACGTAGTGCAGTGGGAGGTGCAGCATTGCATAGCGTCTGTGAGCTAGTGCCATGTTCATTGGGTCGTAGTGATCGAGTAGCGCTGGGTTGGGTGGGAAGATAGATGAGGGCGAGGTTTGGCGGGCATTAGTGAGTATGCCTATGGGAAAGGCTCCGGGGATTGATGGATTACCCTGTGAATTTTACCTGCAGAATTGGAAGTTAATGTGTGGATTCCTGGTGGAGTTGAATATCATGAAGGAGAAGGGGGTGTTGGGGGAGTTGCAAGCCACAGCAGTGGTTGTTCTGGTCCCAAAGGGAGAGGTCCAGAATACTCTCAAGGATTATCGGGCGATATCTTTACTTTGTGTGGATTACAAATTGTTTGCGAAAATACTGGGAAATGCCTAAAATGGTCGTGGGGCGTGGGCGTATCTGGAGGGCAATTAAAGGGTTGCCTGGCAGATCTATGGTCTAGGGTCAGGACGTCTTAAGGGGTTTGTAAGGGTGGGGGAAAGGGGGGCTTACTTGCTTTGGTTGGCAGGGAGCTTATGACCGGTGAACGGAGCTTGCGGCAGATCCTCAAAAGCAGGGATTTGGGGAAGATTTGTGGAATGGGTGGAACTTGTATCGAGGGGCGGGGTTTCGGTGCAAATTAATGGTCGATTTGGGGAAGCAGTGTGGGATGGGGGGGGCGTCTCAGGCATGGATGTCCACTATCTCAACCGTTGCTGTGATCAAGACCCTTTTACGACCATTGAATGTCGTGGGGTGGGGAGGGGGTTGGGGGGGTGGGCCCGGGGATTGAGATACGTCGACGACACGACGGGTTTGTGAAGAGGGAATAGTTTGAGAAGGTGGAGAGGCATTGTACTTTGGGGGGGCTTCGGGGATGAGGGTTAATGTGGGGAAATCTTGCTTCTTAAAGTTGGGAAATTGGAACTGGCAGGGGGATTGGGATGCTGGTGTGGAGTGGAGGGTGGTGGATAGCTTAAAGATATGTGGAATAGTGTTTATGGAGAATCAAGTGCGGTCGAGAGAGGTGAACTCAGAGCATATTGTGGAACGGGTGCAGCATAGATTGGGGAGTTTGCGCCCGTATCATTTGACATTGTTGCAGAGGGCCATCGTGGTAAACACGTTACTATACAGTAAGTTTGGCATGTGGCGGCAGTTTACCCCTTAACGGGGCAAGGAATTACGAGAATTTTAAAGCAGGTGTTTAGGTTTATATGGGGTTCTGGGTGTGATTGGCTGAGGAGGGAGGTGATAATACTGCCGGTACGTCAGGGGGGGTTAGGGTTATTGGATCTACGGCGTTGGGTAAAGTGTGTTTATTTACGAAGGGAATATGTACGGGTCGGGTGGGGGGGTTAAAGCTTCTGTATGAGGGAGTGCAGAGGTGGTATGTGGGTGCAGAGTTGAGGGAATGTGAGGAGGTGCTGCGTACCCTCATGGTCCTACGGGAGCCTGGCAAGATTCGCATAGGGGTTTTGGCGAGAGTAATTGGGAGCCGGGTGGTGGTGCCGGTGGAGGGAATATACCCCATGTATGGATGGGGAGATATTTGGTGTCGTTTTCGTAAGTTGAAGCTCAGACCTCGGGTGCGGGAGGTTATGTTCCGTTTCCTGCATGGCATTTTGCCATCAGGAGCGGTCCTGCAGGCGAGGCGGGCGAGGCGAATAGTAGAGGAGAGTGGGTGTGGGGTGTGGTGGCGAGGATACGGCATATCATGCGGTGTATTTTTGTGAATGTTTGGGGAATGTTAGGGATTGGATGAGTAGGATTGTGAGGCTAGTGGGAGGGGGGGGCATAGCGGTGTTGAGAGCGCTCGTTTTGGATGTGGGAGGGGTGCCAGAGAGTACACAACGCGCATTGGCATATTTAATGGTAGATTTCGTGTACGTGTCGTGGGGTATACGTGGAAATGGGGATTGGGTGGCGAGGAAACGGGTACTGGCAGCTACTTTTTATAGGACTGTTTGCAGGAACAGGGAAATATATGGATCGCGGTGGGAGGGAGCCTTCCCCGTAGGTTATCGTAGTTTAACTATTGGGATCTTACTCGCTTTGTAGTGGGGGGGGGGGTGTCATGGCTGGGGCAAGGATTGAGATTGTCATCCGGGGTTTCAATGGGCTCGCCGTCGGGAGTGTGTGAGTGAGTGAGTGTGAGTGAGTGTTGAGTGAGTGATTGATGTGGAGTAGGTTGAGTGTGTTGCGTGAGTGTGTGTGTGGGGTTGTATGGCTTAGATGCAAACGAGGGAAGGTTCAGTGTGGTTAGTAGGTGTTAGGAGGTACGTGTGATGCTAGCTGGATTAAGTGTGTGATCCAGTTTGATAGCGGGGAATTTAGGTTTATATTTTTGCATGCGTGTCCCATGGGATGACTGTATTACCCTCTGTGTATATAACGCCTTGCTATGCTTGGTCACTTACCATCACACCTATGTCAGAGGGTTGAGGTATATATTATTGTTTAGAGGTATTGTACGCATGTATGCAGTAAGAATGCTTGGGTGTGGTTTGTTGTGATTGAGATACTGTTGCGATGTGACAGGCTTATATGCTCATGTACAGCTGGGAGACTAAGTGACAGGGAACTGTATGCTGCCGAGAGACAGTGGTGGTTGCCTAAATGAGGGAGAAGAGGGGGGGGTGTAATAGAATGTTTTGTTATAGGAGACAGCATTGAACGTTGCCCTATTAAGGGCTCATCTCTGATTGGAGGTTAATGAGATAGGGTTATATACACATATACGGATTACGGGGTTATTTTTCAAACTGTTCATACTGTGTACCTTGTGTGTGGTGAGAGGAGGCATATATCAACTTATTGTTTAATGTCACTTTGTTTTATGTAAAAATTTATATATGTTTTGTTTTGTTTCATTTAAAGTGTATATTAATTTAGGTCACAACCCTGGTACTGTTTTTGTTAAGTGCTATGTTCTTGATGCAAGTTTATGTATGGTTTACAGTTACATATACAGAGTTTATTCATGCAAGTTTTGTAGCATTTTTTGTTACGTATGTTCAGGTGTGGGTAGTAAATCGTTTAGTTATAAGGATGGTGTATTTCTTATATATAGCTTCATGTTTAGTGATTTCAGTCAATCATGTATGATTACATGTATATTGTATACCTGTGCTCTAAATAAAACATACAAAATTAGGGGATGAATAGCTACGGAATGTTTAGGTACATAAAATGCTAATATTACAATGTACAGTAAGAGGCCAAAGCATTAGTTTATATATAAAAACTTTTGTATATACAGTTTTCATACAAGATTTGAATACAAATGTCAGGTTTGGCTAGTAGCAATTTTATGTATGTATGTTCAGGGGTAGGTTGTCATCCGTTAGTTATAAGGATGTTTTCTTATAAATGGTTTCATGTATTGTGATTACGTCAATGTGTGATATGCGTGTATACTGTATACTTTAAATAAAGAAAAATTACCTTCATGCGGCTTTACAAACAATCTTATATTCGTGGTTTCGCATCGCCTGGTAAAATTTAATCGCTCAAGTTATTGCTGTTTCCAAATGGGTAAAAAAAGATTTATGTCCATCTGAGTCTGGAAACCAGCATGACTATGCCATAGGGTTACACGACCTACCGAAGACAGCTCTTATAATTAAACCAAGGATTTATCCCTTTTATGTTTACACTATGAAATTACCTAGTAGTGTTTACAGGACTGTTGTTGTTTTGTGTGTGTGCGCTCGCGCGCGCGCATTCGTGCTTTCATCTATTCATACTCTCCTATTTATGGCTGCAGAGGTATGGTCACATCTACCTTTTAACTTGATGCTTACAGGATTTACTCCTTCATGGACTTTGTTATACCTGTTCTTTATGACTGTGTTGAGCCTGCTTCCGCTACTTCGCCTTCGAAGTTATTCAACTTAATACTCTAAAGTAGAATACTTCTTGACATCCCTGTGACTCAGCTACGTATGTCTTTAACTTCCAGATGTTCCATCATGTACCCCTTTCTAGGGTCTCGAAAAGTCTGTCCACATCTAACTATCAAATCGAATAAGTATTTCGCATGTCGTTAAGTCTTCCATTTCCCTGGTTCTTCTATTCTTTCTTGTCAGTTAAGTTCCTTTGGACCCTTTTCATAGTTCATTTCTCTTTGCTTTGATAATAGTCTCGTTTCAAACCTCTTCCTCCATTTTCTTATATACTTTATTCAGGAAAGGTTCCAAGCTCGTGCTGAATACTCATATATGGGCCTAATATATTTTGAATAAAGTGTCATGAATGACTTCTGATTCCTGAAATCCAGTCTAGAATTGGTAAGGCATAATTCTCTGCAGAGGTTATTCAGATGATATGATGGGAACACTGGATTATGGGCAAGGTAATGGGAACAGTGTGTGTAGCGTGGTGAGGGGAACATTAAATGTAGACGAGGGCGCTGGAACAGTGTGGGCGTAGCGATGTGAACACTGGAAACTGTTCATATCACTAAAATTCCGTCGCTTAGTTATAAATCCCGAAGCTGTAGAAGTGCACCCTAAGTCTGCCTTACAAAATTCTCCAGCTATCTGATCTATAAATAAAATATAGGAATGGTGACTAATATTAAGCATTCATTTTAATATGAATATTTAAATTAGTTTTTAATTAAAAGCATTGAGTTTCGTTGTTGTAAATGACCGAATAATCTTAAAGTATGTTTTCTCAATTAAAATTGTGGTCTATTGAGTTTGCTTGTGTAGCAAAACGTTGAAAGTTCTCGTAAAATGTTGAGAATTAAATATTCGTGGCCTGGGTTTAAGTCTCGTCACACGTTAGCTGGTTCGATTCCACAGAGTAGAAACATTGGACGTGATTTCTTCAACGTTGTCTATGTTCCGCCAGAAAAATGGGTACTGGGTGTTATCGACGTGTGTGTCAGCATCATGGACACTGACCTAAGGAGGCTGGTCACAGAGGGCCGCGGGTGGTTGATCCCGATACTCTTCCAGGTATCCAGTATCTCACTTACTTCAAAGAATCGCTAAGGCCAATATAGTATGAGTTTCGCGATTATATATTTCCTCTAAAGAATCGGCTGATCGATTTAAAATTTTTCATGTGCTTCGATTTTTTATTTTTTTTTCTTCGCCCCAGCAATTTTCTTTGTATCGTTCATTCACGTGCTTGATTCTTTCGTTTCAAAACCTGTGGTGTATCCATCCTCGGAATTAGTTGTTTATTCTTAAAATTAAATTTTATTGCACTATCCTGTTCGAGTTTGTTTTAATATTGTATTCTCCAAGGTCATGAAGAGAACGTGAGGAAGGATGATCCCAGCAGATAGCCACCTCTGCCAGCAGTAGTGACGTTGCAGATGCTTCTGCCCTACAGGGATCCCTACCAGAGAGTCAGCTGATGTGCAAGGTAAGCAATTTCCAATGAATCTCTTCTAATATCCTAGGACACTACTGTGGTTTACCTCTGATTCTATTTATATGTGGCATATGTAATATCATGTATTAAGATGTAATCTATAGCTTTTGACAAGGCAGACTGGAAAGCCAGCGGGAGGCCTCAATAATATGACCAAAAGCTCAAGTAACAAAAGGCTCCAATCAGGATAAATTTTCGTATTTCTGACAAATTGCTGTAGCGAGAATTCGTCTTGGGGTACGAAAAATTTTTCATCCTTTAAGTGCTATGGAGAAACTTAAATATATGTTGAGAATTGGTGCAGATTTAATTAATGACCCCTTCCTCTCCAGAGTAAGATCGAACAGGGATTCTTATTTTTTTTCTACCTTGAGGTATAGAGAGTTGAGTGTCCCTTTTATCTCCTCTTACTGTTAGTAAATTCTCATAACTCTTGTGCCCTTGATAATTAAAGTAATATAATAAAGTGATTTCTATGATCTGGATTGGGAATAAGTTTTTTTTTTCTTTTGTATTTAGCTCCTAGTTTGTTGGAACTATATTCAGGCTTGACGGGTGTATCTTGGGAAGAAATCAGATACAAGATCATCACCTGTCACAGAACCATTCATTATGACACTAAATTATTGGAACTGTTTTAATATGTAAATGACTGAACCCAGTAGTGCCCACTATTCTATTATTCTCATGTTCATTTACGAATGTAACTAATACAATTTCTTTAACGTTTGTTACTGACTCTCCATATTCTTATGTCTGGCATGATAGTCTCCAAGAATAATGGTAGGTTCACTATTATTGCAATCAGGTAAAGTATCAGGTCGAAAATAGCTAGCTGGAACATAAATATTAAGGATGTTAATCCAAAAAGTTGTTTGCATATACTTTAAAACCAAGGATATAGCATGTGTTTATTCGATTTTGTAGATTATGAGTGAGGCAAGTTCTTTGTAACCATAAATCCCACACCAGTTAGCCGATCTTTAGTTACATTCTGCATATCTAGTCAACTTCAGAATAATTTCTCCGTCACGTAGTGCACATTTCTTCAAATATAGTTCATCTATATTCTTGGTTGAACTAATGTGATGTACCCTATCCATTGCAGTTATTTTAAATTTTAATTGCCGTGCCTCGCTTGCTTCATGGTGACGCTGTTCTTCTGCAACAGTATTGTAGAAATATTTTATGAAGCAAACAACATAATTTTCACATTTTTAAGTCAAAACCATAATTTTTAATCACCTCTCTACATTGCATTAGTTTTTTATATATTTTATTTAAAACTTCATGTACAAATATACATAGGTATATGTATTAATATGTAACAGTAATACTGATGATGAGCAGGAAATTAACATTATCACTACACAATCTACTGAATAACTACATCATATATAATGGCACTAAAACTAACCTAACACAGCCTACACTCTGCTTTTAAGTATATTGCTACACAAGCACAAAAGTTTTTATAAAATATAATGGTACAAGCTCATGATTGCTTCCACTGCTTCCCCCCACAAGTGAAAACTGTCCACTTTCACCTGGCTATACACAATATCAAAACTTCGTTCATTTAAACATGTTTTCCATGTTAAGTTCATTATACATCAGTAACACAATATAAAAGCACAAAACAACCCATGCACCATCTGACACTATGTATAAAAGTAGTACGTAAGCATACCACTACTTGAAAATAGTTAAGAATGCCTCACTATTGTGTCAATGGAACATTGTTCATTTAAAATTATGCACAAAATACATTTACATATATAGGTAGACGCATATGGATACATGGACCAAAAATCTCTACTAGTACATCTCCAGTCCATTCATAATGACGCTATTCCTTCCCAACAACACAATCCACACCCTAACCTTTAAATATCCTAAGCTACAAAATCAAAGGTGTTCATATTGCTGAAGTTAACACGATACAGCGCACATTTCCCCCCCCCCCACACACACACAGGGGATGTACCCTGTCACCAACCTCAACAACCAAAACAGTAATATTTATTAACGTATCATAATACGTTTGTAACTTAAGTAATAAGCACAACCATCATAGTATATTAACACCTTAAAAAACGCTACATACATGAACATACACATAAAAGTTTATACAATGTTTCCCTAAACACACACACCTCTGCAGGACAGATTATTTACACCTGCCAGAGATTAACTATATCCTTAATAAACTTTACACTATAAGTACAGGTCTCGTAATAATAATTCCTAAAGGTCAGGTTATGAACAGTTCAAGTTTTATATTTAAAAAACTGTTTGCTACACATTAACCTTGAAAATATATTCGACAATCATATTCACCCCAAATGATCAATTATATGCCTCCTACTGATGTAAATATTATAATATATAGAGCAGCAAACGAATGAAAACCAAGATAGAGGTCATGCCCTTACTGTATCACCGTTACATATATATTTCTTTACATATGCACATTCCTTATATTCGTCCTATAGTAACCCATTAATGCACTCACACACACACACACACACACACACACACACACACACACACACACACACACACACACACACACACACACACACACACGTGTACAATTACACACTACCACCCAGTTTAAACAGAACCACCAAACCAAACCACCAAACCCCCGACACTAATACTCATATAAACCCTCGTGAAACTCTTCTCCCGCGTACTGCCGTACAACAGTTTATTCCTACACATAGTTCTATAAAACTTCGCCGCCTGGATACGACGTCGTACTTCCATATCCCTTCCTCCCTCATGAAAAGCCCACAAGTTATAAATATAATCAAAAGCCACATACACCGCAGCTCGCGCTGCTGTTTCAGTAACCCCACTCAAATCCAATCTCAACACACTCAGTACTGAAGCATTTCTACTACCTGTAACCAGGATTAACGCACGAGCGAGCCATCGCCTCAAACCATCATAACACCCACAGAAGTACAATGCATGAAATGCAGTCTCAACCCCACAAACTCTACAGGCTCAATCCTCCACCTCTTCCAGTGCGAGAAGGGTCGTGTGCTCGTTCACTAATAACGTCGTGCCATCTACATATCTCACAATCATTGGATAAACTCTTACTACCCACACTCATCCTACTACCAAAAACAGTCTCTCACCTTCCTATAGAAAGGGTCCTGTACATATGCGAAGAGCATCTGAGAAAATGGATAGCCCTGCCGCTGACCCCTACCCATAGGAAGAACCCCACCTAATCGACCATTAACCTTGAATTCCAGTCATTGCCCCGATATATAATGTATCCACCCATCATCTTATTTCCTTCCCAGACCCCAGTGCACTGCATCCCTTTCTACCGAATCATATGCCCCTTTCCAATCAAGGGCAAATAATGCCCCCTTTCTCCCCGTCTCCTGCAGTGCTCTCAAAAAGCCCACAATAATTGAATGACCCTATAACATGGATCTACCCGGAATGCCATACTGTCCTGGCGTGACTACCGACCCACTACACACTTTATTCTACTGTCCAACACCTTGGCAAAATTTTTATAATCGGCGCACAAAAGGGAAATAGCACAAAACCCACAACCGCTTCCTCGTCCATTAAAACCCTAGTATTTAATTTCCAGTAACCCTTGTATCTCATTGCGAAAGTATCCCACCCCACCTCCGTGAGAACTGTCTGATGATCAGAAAAGGCAGTTGTCACGGTATTAACCGAACGTAACGTAATCGAGGATGTAACATAAATTCTGGCTAGTCAAGGCCCCATAATCCCTTCTTACAAACGTATGGACCGGTATCAACTCATTCATGTAACAAACATCCCTCAATTGTACATCTCGTAACAATTCACTTAACTCCGGCGAATAATGCCCCTCCCCACGTGGGGTCACATCCCTTCCCCTAACCACACAGTTCCAGTCCGCTCCACAAAATTGTGCGGGGAGTTTACCTGGAGTTTACCTGGAGTTTACCTGGAGAGAGTTCCGGGGGTCAACGCCCCCGCTGCCCGGTCTGTGACCAGGCCTCCAATGACCTAAGGAAATAAACTAAATCGTCCCTAATGAAAGAATTTTTAATCTGCACATCACTATCCGCAGGCGCATACACACACATGAAACAGACGGGGAAGCCTGCCAAGTACCATCCACACGGAAAACACGACCATCTTCTCCATTTTCACTACGGTGATACACAAACGGGCATAACATACCCACTAAAAGGGCTACACCCAATTTTAAATGAACAGTAGGCATTGCATGTACCACATAACCGGGAATCTCCAGATCTTGTACGTTTTTAAGGTTATGCTCTTGTAAAAATAACTACATCCACCTTACACCTACCAATAAACCCCGCAAACCATCACCTCTTCGCTACCACATCTAGTCCATTAATATTAATGGTGAGAGCTGGTTTGTGGCGTTGGCTGACTCGAACTTTTGCACTTTCAGCCACACTCGTATTGCCACCTTTATCAGGTACCACAATCTCTGGTTTCCTGGTTCCTTTGGCAGTGTGCGACTTAGATCTTACATCCTCAGAACCACCCGCTCTGCCTACCCACAACTTTTTACAGGTCTCTGGGTTGGTGTTAACACATCATCGGAATCTCATATTGTCGCTGCGTGTTTCCAGGCGCACGTGTCCTCAGCTACACACTGGTCACTTGAAGCCACCCGATGCACATCCATATTTACCTCCACCACACTGAGCCCCCCTTCTGGCTCAGCATCCATCACGAGAGTAAGGGGCGGTTCCATTGTCCTCACAGGAGCCTCCACACAAGCCGTGTGGAGGCTCCTCAGGTGTCATCGACACCCCGACCGATCGGGAAGGACATATTTCCTTTAAGACATTTTCCAACTCTTCCAGCTCTGCTTCCCTGGTCTCCGTCCGTACCTGAACCTTAGCATTCGACATTGTAATGCGTTTTTCTGTCGTTTCCTTCTGAAGGTCAGCCGCAACCGCCACACCATTACCCTCCTCAGT